TAATATGTGAAATTCATGAATTATCAGTACCCTTTTTGATGCCTTGAATAAACATTTTGTTTAATTAGTAATTTTCTAAGTTTATCCACTTTCTTCATCCATTAACTGTGTAAACGTTTGTAAAGTAATGCATTATGCAACTATTAATTCCAAGAAGTTATTTATCTCTATAATACAGTTATTCTAAAATTTTCGAACTCATGATGGGTGTATATTTTTTCTTGATAAAGTCATAGTATTCAAAGATTGGACCTGATGTCGCGTCAACAGAAGATCAAGTATTCATACAAAGGTGTAGTGTTCTCAACGATACAATGGGTATATTTCGTTCACTGAAAATCTAATCTTGAAACTAAGTGTTAAAATATCCTTTTTGTTGATTAACACCACGAAAAACCTATGACAAACATGATATCTTGTAGCTTATGGATGCTTTTTAGTATAGGACTTAGCATTCTGTCCTCTTCTGCTCTCTTTTCCCACTCACAAACACATACATACTACTGTCAAATCCCAGAAAAAAAAATTTATTTTTAGCTTATTTCAGTTTAGTCTGATGATTTTTCCGGATTCCTTGGAATACGTTTTTGTGCTTTCTGCATAGCATAATTTATCTGACTAGTAGAGAGAGATGAGGTGTGTCCCTCTGCTTTTAATAGTTTTTCCAGGTGGGTGAATTTATCTCATTCTCTGTTTGGTACTTTATGCCTAGATAATTCAACGTCAACATATAGTGCTCATAACTACGCTTGCTTAAGCTTAGCTGACAGTTAGACTACTAAGTACTCCAATGCTACCAAACCAATAAGCATTTTCATTTGAATTCAACGGTAGTGGTGTGAGATTAATAAAAACAGTTAAATTTAGCTAGGGCTGCTCATCAATTTAAGCTTGTGAAGAAATGAACAAACAAGTCAACTATTTCCTCGTGCGGAAGACACATTTTCGCATAGACCGTCGAAATCCACTCGTCCACAGTGAACTCTTATGCATTGCTGAACACCAGTGCATTATTAATGTTGCGTAACTGAAAGTCATGCTCTACCTAAGAACATTTTTCATCGGTATTAAGATACAGTACTTTTTCCCATATTTACCGAAAAGCTTTATACTACTTGTAAGTAGTCAAATAGAAGTACTAAAATATCTGGACCACTTTCCTTTCTCAAATGATAACTACTACTTCAAAGTAACTGGTCTCTTTGATAAATTTAAACAGCGTAATGAGAAGACGAAGAATATCTGAAACATGTGATGTATTAGCGCTATACATTTCGAACAATATGATCGCACATGGACTTGTCGAACTAGTTGTACCTCTAAAAATATACCAGAAACTAACTATAGGATAGACACGAAAACAGCCTTTAAAGTACTACATAAAAGTGGTCAAAGCCAAATGTTCAATGTCAAAATGTATAGCACTTATACACCACATGTCCCAGATAATCTTCATTTTTTCGTTACGCTGCTTAAACTATTACTCTGGAGGTTGCTGTTCATTACTCATAAACATCCGCAACATCTTTTTATTATACTACCTCAAAGCCTACTGAGAATCCTCTATTTATACCTCACAGTCATGCGAAATTAATAAAGTGACTTTATACTGTCTGGAGACATTTTTACTACTATATTCAGAGTTGTGAATTCTTGATGAAAACTGCCTTGAAATTAGTCAATATTCCATCAATGTCTTAGCTGAATGGCGTGTCGATACTCCTTAGTGTGTTACCAACCTACGCAGGTTACAGCTGACCGCCCTGGGTGTTCAGTATGTACTCAAATGAGTAGCCAGATGATAAGAGGTCTACCTGTCAAGTCCCAGGTGCTGATCATTGAGATGAGGCTATCGATCACATTTGCAATCCCGTCATCTAACTAAGAGATACGACACCATGTTATACTACATTCCAATATTATATGTTTGTTACCGATCGGTTGTCACTTGATTGACGCTGATCAATGTTGAGTGTATGAGAATTGACAGCCGCACCGGTTGTCACCCACTGATGATTTGTCAACAGTTTACTACTGATTATACTGGATCGTAATTGTTCTATAAAGTGTGTTGGCATAAATACAAAAACTTCGACCATTGTATCTGAACCGATTCGCTGGATTGTAGCTTGCTGGCCATGAAACCTGATTCTTCCGAACTAGACGCAAAATGGGTTTAAAGGTCTAAAATGCAAATGTCGTAGTCTACAGAAAAACAGATTCCTAGTACTCCTTGTCTTCTAAGTAGTTCCTGAGTTAATGTCATACCATGGTGACACTCTGAAATAGATAGATTTCTCAAGAACTTTTCAAATGAATAATATCTCTTTTTGTCAAATGACACTTCTGTTCCCGACTAGTGAGGTGTTTACCGCAGTTAATGAGTTAATATCAGTTTGAAATCTGGAGTCTATCCATCGGGAGGTCTTGAGTGTTCACTGCTGAATCTTCCCAAGCTAGGACAAAAACAGTTATCCAGTACTTGCAGATTTCCAGTGATTGTGTAAATGATGTCAACCCTCAATGAAAGCTCCTTTAAAACCATTCATGTATGTGAAGCCAACTAATCAGGAAGAAACAAGCTCAGTATAATTCATCAGAACAAGGAAAATTACCCAATTACAATCCAGAAATATGACCTGCAGAATCAACTATGCCAGTTGTGAGCATGTTAATCCACTTGTGGAATTCAATAGCAGTGGTGCTACTGGACTGCAAATGACTGATAGAACTGTGGCATATACACAGTGAGACTTCATGGTTAGAGGCTTTGTCATCCATCAAGTTGTGAGCATGTACTGGTGAAATGTAGCTAGGTCGTTGACTCCAGTCCAGTAAAGATGAATTTCGGCATCACATTAGCATACATGAAAAGTGGTGAAATTAATTTGTTTACTTTCCAACATGTATTTTGAATGCACCCATTGTTTAAGTGCAAATATCTTTAAAAATCTTTTCGCCGTCATTTACGATTACAGTAGAGAGAAATCTCTTCGAGTTTTTGAATTTTCACTCCCTGCCTGCTGCAGTTTTGAATTACTGAAATGATTTTTCACTATTTGCATGTATCTAAAGCCAACTGAAATTCAATCAAATACAGCATCCGCTGCTTCACACTGCATAAAGTTGTCCACTCGGTCACTTATGAATCGAAGAAGCCACAACCTTTCTATGGAGGAGTTCAAAGGTATCGCTAACAGTTGAGGCTCATTTCCGTAAAGCCTAATGGTATCAGTTTTATTGAGATTTCTATAATTCTTGCTACTGACTTGAAGGATTGTTCTACTTTCATTGATAAAAAACCAACACACTGGGACACAGATACATTTGGTTGTCTAATCTCAAGAAGGATGACATGTGTGCCCTGTGTTATATTGTTCTGAGCTGTTTTTAACCTGTTACCAGTCATGAAGAAGCCGAATTAGAGTTGACAGTCAACACTTAAGCGATATGAACAACAAATGAAGTTAACGTAGGTATATCAAACCATCTTCACCGAAGATATATGAAGCAATAGGGTCAAACGTAATATAGGGCGTTATTTTATAACAGTGACTCTGGCGACAGGAAACAAATCATATTTAGAAATCACTGATAAGCGTTACGAAATACCTAATTGTAGTTTAATTTATAACCGGTTATATCATTTCTCAGACCACCTATGAAGATATGCATTATGATATAACCCCTGGTGTAAAATTTACCGTCATCACTGATAAAAAGAAAATATTAAGGCTAGAATAGTGTTGAAATCTGTGGGGTCGTTTGTCTGATTCAGCAGTATAGTTCACTTTGATGAAACTGCCTCCAAAAATATTCATTTGCTCAGATTCATTATTAAATATAGATGAACTTAACAGAAACACCTCGGGAAATAATGACTATCACATTTTACAGCTGAGAATTTCCCTCATTGATTGGATCCCATTGACTGACTACTGTTGGTGAATAGGGTCCAGTGTGGAGGCCTCTGTATTCCTGGTGACTTCATTTTAAAATTAAAGATGTGTTGTGGCTAACAGAAGAAAGCAAGACCACATTCCCAACTTTACCGTCATATTAGCATCAATGAAGAGACACCCGCATATGAACCTTTGTGACAATAATGACCGATCATTTCGTGTAAATCAACAATGGGATACTAAAATCTATAGCATCAAACTATAGTTATCACATAGGAAGTGGATATAATAACTCATCAGCCTGGCGGATAACGGTTTGCAGCTTAAAGAGATGGGTAGTGAATTAGAATTTCAGATGGAAAAACTTAACTTCCTCGGAGGTAGTTACATCCAGCTAACGAGTCCCAAATAGGCGGAAACATAAATCCTGGATTCCAGCACTAACTAACTAATTTTATAACCTGGGATTTTGTACGGTGATAAAGTGTCCTATAATCTAACTACTAAGTCAGGAGATTTAAATGAAGTAATCAAACACAATAAAAAGACATTTGTATTTCATAACTATCCTCCAAAGCCTATTAAAAAGTTTATATGGACTCATGAAAGAAAGAGAAATAACAGTTCTAGCAATAAGTGCCGAATGCCTAGGAAGAAAATTCAAACCTGTAGTAGTGTTGCCGTATTCAGAAGGGATATCAAAATAACCGGATTTGTCAAATATCGTGTAATGATTATGAGGTTGGGTATATAGGTCAGAGTAGTCGATCGGTTTTCAGCTAGGAAAGTGGAACACAAAACCTTTGCCAAATATAGAGAAGTTCAGCTTTAGCCTTAATGAAGCGCCATGTGATTTGTATGTGACTGTAACCATCGAATCTGAAATTTAGTCATGCACTTATAAGTTGGGCATGACACCACGATACTGAAGAAAATTATTCCATTTCCAGTAATGTCGACTGTCACGTTCATAAGTGTTTCCTTTTTTAAAGGAAATCTACGTTTTCGAACCTATAAGGCTTTAATTCGACTTTTTCATGTGTTTTCTTTCTTTCTATCTTTCCACTGCTCTGTACATCGCCATGATGACACGACAAAATGATAGATCATCGACAGAAAACAGAATTGTGCGGAAATGGTAATCTTTGTCTTTATGGAGGGAAATGCTATGATCCATTGGATTACTACAAATCCTCATCATCATCGTCTACAACAATCACCAGAAAACGCATGTTGTCAATATTTTCTAACTGTATGTGTGACGGTATTAACTGCCTGAAAGAATGGCCTGATCCAATATGTGCAGATGATGGGGAAACCTATTCAAATCAGTGCTTTTTAAAGCGTGCAATCTGTGAAACTCAATCGATGAAACGAGTACTTTATCGCGGGAATTGTGGTAAGGATTCTCTTACTTGACTTATTATTTATTCAGCAGTTGCGTGTCTATGTTTGAAAAAGATAAAGAGTAGATTATATGAAATGTTTCTGTGATTGTGTCGATATTTCTTTTCTCACACCGAATAACTTTCACGTCGATGATTACATGAACGTGCAGTATGCTGATACAGTAAGATGCTTTTTGCTA